GATGCCTCGAAAATACTTCCCCACTCCTCAGGTTTTGTAGAACTCAGCCGTGAACATCGGTGCGAAGTCCGGGAAAGTGAAATTTGGCCGATAATTCTTCTGCATGAATTCTACGTAACTCTGAGACTGTGAACCTTGAGGAAAGAAAATCATCGGTAGATGTACAAAAAGACTTCTTTACAAATAAGAATAGATGAACATGACGTGTAACTGACAACAATAGTGACAATAAAAGCAGTAAAGGTAAGAGTAATAACTAGGATATAACACATTCTGTACCTGTATATTACTTAAGTAACACTAGAAATGATAATTAAGCCTATCATGGACAAGTATGATAACTGGGAAGCTGGGTACTCAACAGCAGGTGTTACACATCTCAGCTGATAACATGAACATCTGATATCTGAAAGAAAACACGACCACCTTTTTAACTAGAGATAATAACTAGTGGGAATAAGCTAGATTCCTTCTGTCGACCTTATTATTATATGAAAAACTATTTAGTTAGATTATCAGTCTCTTCAGGTTTGTCTGCAACAAAAATAATCAGTAATATTAAGTACAATCTCTAAAGCATAGAAACAATAACTTTCACTTCACTTACAGAAATAGATACACACCTCCGTTTCGATAACCTTTGTATATACTAGCCGGTTAATTGGGTTTAAAGATTTCCGATTACACGGGAACCATCGGCACTCCAGATTAAAAAATACTGTAATCCCTAAAATAGGGATTAAAGCAAATTCTCAGTGTATACATGAGAGACAGACCTGTGTTCTCGTTTATATCTAAAGAACGTCTCATTCGGTCGTCTTAAGAACATAAGAAAGGAGGAACACTGCAGCAGGCCTGTTGGCCCATACTAGGCAGGTCCTTTACAATTCATCCCACTAACAAAACATTTGACCAACCCAATTTTCAATGCTACCCAAGAAATAAGGTCTGAGTGCAAGTCCCACTCAAATCCAACCCATTCCACTCATGTACTTATCCAACCTAAATTTGAAACTACCCAAAGTCCTAGCCTCAATAACCCAACTAGGTAGACTGTTCCACTCATCAACTACCCTATTTCCAAACCAATACTTTCCTGTGTCCTTTCTAAATCTAAACTTGTCTAATTTAAAGTCATTACTGCGGCTTCTCTCTTGGAGAGATATCCTCAAGACCTTATTAATATCCCCTTTATTAATACCTATCTTCCACTTACACACTTCGATCAGGTCTCCCCTCATTCTTCGTCTAACAAGTGAAAAGTAACTTAAGAGTCTTCAATCTTTCTTCATAAGTAAGATTTCTAATGCTATGTATTAATTTAGTCATCCTACGCTGAATGTTTTCTAACGAATTTATGTCCATTCTGTAATATGGAGACCAGAATTGAGCTGCATAATCTAGGTGAGGCCTTACTAATGATGTATAAAGCTGCAGTATGACCTCTGGACTTCTGTTGCTTACACTTCTTGATATAAATCCCAGTAATTTTTTTTGCCTTATTACGTACGCTTAGGCATTGCTGTCTTGGTTTAAGGTTGCTGCTCACCATAACCCCAAAGTCCTTTTCGCAATCTGTATGGCTAAGTTCTACATCATTTAACTTATAAGTGCTAGGGTTATGGACACTCCCGAGCTTCAGAACCTAGCATTTATCTACATTAAAACTACATCTGCCACTTTTCTTTTGTTCAAATCCTCCTGAAGTTCCCTAACGTCTACTTTTGAATCAATTATCCTACCTATCTTTGTGTCATCGGCGAATTTGCTCATATCACTAGTAATTCCCTCATCAAGGTCATTGATATATATTAAAACAACAACGCCACTTGTTACAGATCCCACTCTGATTTAACCCCATTTATGGACACTCTCTGCTTCCTGTCTGTGAGCCATGACTCGATCCATGAGAGCACTTTTCCCCCAATGCCATGAGCTGCCACTTTCTTTAACAGTCTTTGGTGTGGAACTCTATCAAGAGCCTTACTAAAATCTAAGTAAATAATGTCAAACTCTTTATCTTGGTCAACAGCCTCAAAAGCTTTACTGAAGAAATTTAAATAAATTAGTTAGACAAGACCGGCCTCTTGTGAATCCATGCTGAGTATCATTAATCAAGCTATGCTTATCGAGATGGCTTCTTATAATCTCAGCTATAAATTGACTCTAGTAATTTGCCTACAATTGAGGTCAGGCTTATTGGGCGGTATTTGACGGTAACGACTATTCCCCTGTTTTAAAAAATAGGAATTACATTAGCCATCTTCTACATTATCAGACACTACACCTGTTTGAAGAGATAAATTAAAAATATTAGTTAATGGTTCACAGAGTTCCATTTTGCATTCCTTAAGAACCCTTGAAAAAACCTCATCAGGACCCGGC